CTGTAGTGAACTATAAATCCCAGCAACTACAACTCCCAAATGCAAGGTCTATTTTCCCCAAACTCCACATTTGGGTATTGAGTATTCATGTCAAGTTTGGTCCAGATCCATCATTGTTTGAGTCCACCATGCTCTCTGGATGTAGGTGAACTACAACTTCAAAACTCAAGGTCAATCCCCACCAAACCCTTCCAGTATTTTTTCTGTTTGTCATGGGAGTTCTGTGTGCCATATTTGGTTCAATTCCATCATTGGTGGAGTTCAGAATGCTCTTTGATTGCAGGTGAACTATACATCCCAGTAACTACAACTCGTATATGTCAAGGTCTATTTTCCCCCAAGAGAGCCTCAACAGCACCCCTGGGCAAAATAAACTATACTGCAACTGCTTACTTTGCGTAATGGGTTGAGCTGCCCCTGTATATGTGTGTATTAGTTTGAAGTTTTCTTTAACTCTTTTGTTGTGGGAGGGGCTGCAGACCATGTGATCAGATCAGAGCTTGTTCAGGACTCAGACTCCATTTTAGAAATGTATTCTTAGAGACTTCAGTAGAAACAGATGTATGTTTTCAGACTCTCAGACTGTAGGACTCCATTGGACTTTCAGACTAGACAGAAACTCTATTAGACTCTCAGAACAGAGAGAGGCTTTGAACTTTGGACTATTGATTATAAGAAAGATGCCCTGTGTTACCTACACAGTCAAATTACTTCAAATCCTATTTGTAACTGGATTAATATGCAAAGTACCTGCATGCTGAATACATGAAGTTTGTGAGTAAATCAATCATGTTACTTTTAAAGAAGACTACTTATTTTTGTCTCTTGAGAGCATGATTTAAAGCCAAATATGTGTTAAGAGAGAGTAGATATTTTTAGGCAACTAAAAGGAGTACTTCTGAAACTTTGTTAGATATGTGTGTGTTTTTATGCATTGGCACATCTTTGTCCCTAACAGTTCAAAGACATAGCTAGGTACATCAGTTTAACAGCTGAGAAACTTAATTGTCTGTCAGGTTATGACTCTTGACAGGTCATGCTTTTATCAAGAGGTCGTGGCATCATTTTTCAATGACTTCTAACAAGGTCGTGCCTTTCCAAAGATTATAAAAGCTCCAAAAGGTTATGGAGATATCGATTTTCTAAAACTTTAGAGTCTTGTGCAGTGATCTTTCCAAGCCATTCTAGAGATCTTTAAATTAAACCAAGGTGTTTCTACATGCAAAGCAAGATCACAACCTCTGAGGATGCCTGCCATAGATGTGGGCAAAATGTCAGGAGAGAATGCTTCTGGAACATGGCCATACAGCCTGGAAAACTTTCAGCAACCCAGTGATTCTGGCCATGAAAGCCTTTGACAACACAATGTTATACTTCATTCGCATTACTCTCAGGCCCCTTCTACACTGCCGTATAATCCAGATTATGAAAACAGATTTTTTTTGTCATGTCAGGAGAGACTTGAGAAACTGAAAGTTGCTTCTGGTGTGAGAGACTTGGCCTTCTGCAAGAACGTTGCCCAGGGAACGCCCGGATGATTTGATGTTTTATCATCCTTGTGGGAGGCTTCTCTCATGTCCCCGCTTGAGGAGCTGGAGCTGGTAGAGGGAGCTCATCCGCCTCTCCCCAGATTCGAACCTGCGACCTGTTGGTCTTCAGTCCTGCCGGCACAGGGGTTTAACCCACTGCGCCACCGGGGGCTCCGATCAAAACAGATAATGTGGATTATCTACTTTGATAATCCGCTTTGATAATCTGCTTTGATAATCTGAATTATATGGCAGAACTGGATTATATGAGTCTACACTGCCATGTAATCCAGTTCAAAGCAGATCTGGATGTTATATGGCTATGTAGAAGGGGCCTCAGTGTAAAAACTTAATGTTAGGGTTGTCCCCATGTCTGAGTTTCGTTCTCCAAAGACTAGTATTCAGGGTCCTGTGGATCAATGGTACTATAAATAACCTCTGTTGAGCTTATATGATTTTGGGTTGTTGTAGGTTTTTTGGGCTATATGGACATGTTCTAGAAGCATTCTCTCCTGAAGATGCTTGCCATAGATGCAGGCGAAACGTCAGGAGAGAATGCTTCTAGAACATGGCCATATAGCCCAAAAAACCTACAACAACCCAGTGGTACTTTCTAGGTCGTAGAGTGGCTTATTTTCTAACTGCCATTTCACCATCCTCTTTCCAGATTTTATTTAACAGCAGATTGATAAACCCATTTCTTGCAAAAGTCCATTTTATTGATGCCTGTGTTGAACAGGTCTCTGTTAAATGCTATTTGTGTCACACTTACACTGTTTACATTGGAAATCATCCATTGACTTCAACCCTGGATGCTGAGAACTCTCTTGCTGACAAAAGTATTTAAAGGGGATGTAGCTGATCAAATGCATATGTGAAAGCTGAGCTTGGTTGGCTCCTCAACATGCATCCTTTTCTCCTCTCCCTGCTTCTCTTTTAGGTCTATATTCAATCCTGGCGTCCTGGGAATGTGACCTTATCCATTGCCAGTGCTGCATACCATTCCCATTCTCTGAGGCTGCAGGGAATCAACAAGGAGGGATCCTGTTAACAATACCAGCTTATGACGATGCTGGAAAAAGCCTGCTTTATCCAATGGGATGGCTGAGCATCGGAGAAGGTCGTGTTTTATCCAACCAGTTTCAACAGGTTGGATGGACAATATGGGGTTTTCTGTCTGTGTTATTTTTTTTTTGAAAAATAACATTACTAGCTGTACCTGCCATGTGTTGCTGTGGCCAACCTTCCCTCCCTCCCTCTTTCTCTCTTTCTTTCTCTCCTTCCTTGAAGGGAGATATTGACAAGCTGGAATGTGTCCAGAGGAGGGAGACTCAAATGATCAAGGGTCTGGAGAACAAGCCCTATGAAGAGCGGCTTAAGGAGCTGGGCATGTTTAGCCTGAAGAAGAGAAGGCTGAGAGGAGACATGATAGCCATGTATAAATATGTCAGAGGAAGTCACAGGGAGGAGGGAGCAGCTTGTTTTCTGCTTCTGGAGACTAGGAGCGGAACAATGGCTTCAAACTACAAGAGAGGAGATTCCATCTGAACATGAGGAAGAACTTCCTGACTATGAGAGCTGTTAGCAGTGGAACTCTCTGCCCTGGAGTGTGGTGGAGGCTCCTTCTTTGGAGGCTTCTAAAACAGAGGCTGGATGGCCATCTGTTGGGGGTGCTTTGAATGCAATTTTCCTACTTCTTGGCAGGGGTTGGACTGGATGACACATGAGGTCTCTTCCAACTCTATGATTCTACGAGGGTTGAATGAAAAGTAATGCCTCCACCTTTGTAACTCCTCAACAGAGGCAGTACTGGTATGCGGCAGGTACTGGCTTGTTCAGTAGACTCTCCTCTACAGTTCCATTTTGGGGAAGCCTTAGCATTGAATGGTTGTGTTGTTAAAGTGCAAAGTATGGACCCTGCACAGAATGTGGGTCAATGTGACTTAAGCAGCGTGCAGTCATTGAATTCTTGACATTAGATGGTGTCCCCCAAAGGAGATTCATCAGAGAATGCAAGCTGTTTATGGTGATTGTGTTGATGTGAGTACTGTTTGTCGCTGGGCGAGTAAGTTTAAAGATATTGAGGTGACACCTTCTGCTGTCAAGAATTCAATGACTGCACGTTGCTTATATCGCATTGACCGACCGTCTGCGTAGGGTTCCATACTTTGCACTTTAACCACACAATTGTTCAATGCTAAGGCTTCCTGCCAAAATGAAACTGTAGAGGAGAGTCTACTGAACAAGCCAGTACCTGCCGCATACAATACTACCATCTGTTGAGGAGTTACGAAGGGGGAGGCATTACTTTTCATTCAACCCTCGTAGAATCATAGAGTCAGAAGAGACCTAATGGGCCATCCAGTCCAACCCCTGCCGAAAAGCAGGAAAATTGCATTCAAAGCACCCCCGACAGATGGCCATCCAGCCTTTGTTTAAAAGCCTCCAAAGAAGGAGCCTCCACCACACTCCGGGGCAGAGAGTTCCACTGCTGAACAGCTCTCACAGTCAGGAAGTTCTTCCTAATGTTCAGATGGAATCTCCTTTCTTGCAGTTTGAAGCAGACGTTTCCATGACTATTAAAGTGGAGCCATAATGCGATAATGGTGTAGTGCGAAAGGATCCCTGATGATTTGTTTATAAACTTCTGAAAGCATCAGCCTGCATAAATCTCTTTTTAAGACGTTAACAAAAGAGGGAAAACGCATCTGCTTTTAACTTCGGCGGCTGCCTCTCTGATGTACAAAACTGTTTCTCCTTCCAATTTCTTTTTGGAATGAGATTCAAGTTACTGTTGGCATCTTGCATTGGAGATCAAATCCAAGCGATGCCTGGCAAGCTCGTTCTTATTAGTTTACATTAGCTGCCGTGCTCATGATTCATTTCCCATCCGCAGTTTCGGTGTGTAAAGGGCAGCGGTGGTTATGATGAAGGCCTCTGCAGGGTTATGTGTTTTTCCCCCCGTGGTAGTCTAAACACTGTGCTCGCTATTTAATTCCTCGGTTATATAAAACAAAAATTGAGAACAAAACATCAGGCTTTTTCAGCTGAAATAATTCAAAACAAGCACATCGCAGATACGGGTATTTTCCTCACTTCATCGTCTCTGTTTTCTATTATGTGCAACCTAGAAGGTATTTTTTTCTTTGGAAAGGCATGACCTTTGAGAGATCATAACCTTTTTTGGAAACCAGAAATCTCCACAACCTTTTGGAAACATGTCCCTTTTGGAGATTAATTGGCATTCACACTATTTGGAATAATCATAGAATCATAGAATCCAAGAGTTGGAAGAGACCTCCTGGGCCATCCAGTCCAACCCCATTCTGCCAAGAAGCAGGAATATTGCATTCAAATCACCCCTGACAGATGGCCATCCAGCCTCTGTTTCAAAGCTTCCAAAGGGAGCCTCCACCACACTCCGGGCAGAGAGTTCCACTGCTGAACGGCTCTCACAGTCAGGAAGTTCTTCCTCATGTTCAGATGGAATCTCTCTCTTGTAGTTTGAAGCCATTGTTCGCGTCCTAGTCTCCAGGGAAGCAGAAAACAAGCTTGCTCCCCTCCTCCCTGTGGCTTCTCTCACATATTTATACATGGCTATCATATCTCCTCTCAGCCTTCTCTTCTTCAGGCTAAACATGCCCAGCTCCTTAAGCCGCTCCTCATAGGGCTTGTTCTCCAGACCTTTTATCATTTTAGTCGCTCTCTTAGACAATCACAACCATTTTGTGAAGTATGATCTTCCTGGGAAGAGTTAAATACTCGCCTACCATCCCCATCCCTGTATATTTCCAATTTTCTATTACTGGACTGCAACTCCCAGCAATTCTCCAGATAGATAAGGAAGGTAGATTTTTTATTTGTCATGTCAGGGCAACCAGTCAATTGTATTACATTTCTAATACAACAAAACAAACAAACAGACAAAATACAAAATTGGCAAGCTTGGTAGTTGATTAAATGTCCTTTGACCAGTCTCTGGCCCCTTGGAGTGCCTCTGGTGTTGCCGCAAGGACGTCCTCCCTTGTGCATGTGGCAGGGCTCAGGTTGCATTGCAGCAGGTGGTCAGTGGTTTGCTCTTCTCCACACTCGCATGTCGTGGATTCCACTTTGTAGCCCCATTTCTTAAGATTGGCTCTGCACCTCGTGGTGCCAGAGCGCAGTCTGTTCAGCGCCTTCCAAGTCGCCCAGTCTTCTGTGTGCCCAGGGGGAGTCTCTCATTTGGTATCAGGTTCTGGGTTTGAGCCTGCCACTTTTGGACTCTCACTTGCTGTGGTGTTCCAGCAAGTGTCTCTGTAGATCTTAGAAAACTATTTCTAGATTTAAGTCGTTGACGTGCTGGCTGATGCCCAAACAGGGGATGAACTGGAGATGTCTCTGCCTTGGTTCTTTCACTATTGGCTGCTACTTCCCGGCGGATGTCATGTGGTGCAATTTCTCCAGTGGTTTAGGGCGCAGACACCCCGTGATAATGCGGCATGTCTCATTAAGAGCCACATCCACTGTTTTAGCATGGTGAGATGTGTTCCACACTGGGCATGCATACTCAGCAGCAGAGTAGCATAGGGCAGATGTCTTCACTGTGTCTGGTTGTGATCCCCAGGTTGTGCCAGTCAGCTTTCGTATGATATTGTTTCTAGCACCCACTTTTTGCTTGATGTCCAGGCAGTGCTTCTTCTAGGTCAGAGCACGGTCCAGAGTGACTCCCAGGTATTTGGGTGCGTTGCAATGATCCAGTGGGATTCCTTCCTTCCCAGGTAATAATCCTCAGAGCTCGGGATGCTTGTCTGTTCTTGAGATGAAAGGCACATGTCTGTGTTTTAGATGGGTTAGGGATGAGCTGGTTTTCCCTGTAATCTGGAGTGATGAGAAGATAGATAGATATAGATAGGTAGATAAATAGATTGATCAGGTGGACTGCTGGGAGTTGTAGTCCAAGAATAGGTAGAGAAGGAAGAAAGGAGAGAAAGAGGGAAGGAAAGAGGGGAAGGGAAGAGGAAGAGGAAGAGAAGGAAGGAAGGAAGGAAGGAAGGAAGGAAGGAAGGAAGGAAGGAAGGAAGGAAGGAAGGAAGGAAAGAAGGAAAGAGAAAGAAGGAAGAAATCATAGAATGATAGAGTGGGAAGAGACCTCATGGGCCATCCAGTCCAACCCCCTGCCAAGAAGCAGGAAAATAACATTCAAAGCACCCCTGACAGATGGCCATCCAGCCTCTGTTTCAAAGCCTCCAAAGAAGGAGCCTCCACCACACTCTGGGGCAGAGAGTTCCACTGCTGAACAACTCTCACAGTCAGGAAGTTCTTCCTCATGTTCAGATGGAACTCCTTTCTGTAGTTTGAAGCCATTGTTCCATGTTCTAGTCTTCATGGAAGCAGAAAACAAGCTTGCTCCCTCCTCCCTGTGGCTTCCTCTCACATATTTATACATGGCTATTATGTCTCCTCTCAACCTTCTCTTCTTCAGGCTAAACATGCTCAGTTCTTTAAACCGCTCCTCATAGGGCTTGTTCTCCAGAACCTTGATCATTTAGTCACCCTCCTCTGGACACATTCCAGCTTGCCAATATCTCTCTTCAATTGTGGTGCCCAGAATTGGACACAATATTCCAGGTGTGGTGTAGTCTGAGTGAATCTTCTCCTTAGCGGTAAATATACACTAGTATTATGCAAGGCAAATTAGGCTTAGAGCCATAGAATCACACAGTTGGAAGAGACCTTGTGGACCATTCAATCCAACCCCCTGCCAAGAAGTCACAACTCCTTCACATGATCGCTGGGGATTCTGTGAGTTGACGTCCAAAACATCTGGAGGGCCAGAGTATCTCTAAGGCATCACTGAATGAGGAAAGAGAGGGAAGGAGACCGTCTAACACAGGCATGGGCAAACTGTGGCCCTCCAGTTTGACTAAACTCCCATGACCAAGAGAAAATACTGGAAGGGTTTGGTGGGCACTGACCTTGAGTTTTGGCATTGTAGTTCACCTACATCCAGAAAGCACTGTGGACTCAAACAATGATGGATCTGGACCAAACTTGGCTTGAATACTCAATATACCGAAATGTAAACACTGGTGGAGTTTGGGGAAAATAGACCTTGACATTTGGGAGTTGTAGTTAGAATCATAGAAGAGCTGGAAGAGACCTCGTGGGCC